CCCTCGGCGGTATCCCGGTATAGACTATCTATCAAGGAGTATGCGGCCCGGGGTTCCTGGGCTATATACTCCATCAGGAGTCCCCCACTCCCTTTGCCGAGAGCTTCCTGTGGGAAAAGGGAGTAGTTCTCCGAATTTCCTGAAGGCCACCTTATTGTTGTTGATATTTGTGAATTAATTTTGTCATTTTTCACTTCTTACCAAGGGGAGCCCCCACTCCTTGAGGCCAAAGGCATGTTCGGGCTGAAGGGATTTTGCAAATGCGATTACACGAAGGCTGTATCAAGGTTGTTGGTGAAGGATGTCGGGTGGGGCCGTTTAGTTCCCTGGTGTGACCGTTGGGATGTTACTGTTGGGGAAGATGTATACGTTGCGTGTCGTACGCAGATAGGTGTTCCCTGGATGGCGGTTCCTGATTGGGCTGGAGCGACGATTCGTAATGATGGGCTTTTAACCAGAGGCCCAGGTTCCGTGCTTAATCCTGGTTGGCATGCATGACTATAAATACCCGGTGTTTGACCTCATTTGCATTTTCACGTTTTGATTTGTGAAATGAAGCTCTGTCCATTTTTAGAGAGAGAAAGCTCTCATCCGATCAAACCCCCGTTTTAGAGGTCAGTTCTCCCCCGTTGTTCACCTTTTCCATATAGTTTGCTCTCTAACTGCTAGGTTTAGTGTTAGTGTCCTTAGTCATAGTCTTAGCGCCCTTGCCTCCGATAGAAAAGTAACCGAGTGCAACGTCTTTCGAGAGCGACTCCCAGAATAATTTTAGCCCCCTTCTGCCCAATCGGAAACATGGATGGAGGAAAAGTCCTCGAGTCCTCAGCCCTCCTCTCAAGTGGATTCATAATTGGCGAAGGAGGTTGAGAGTCACCTCAGGACAGAGGCCGGAGCCGAGGACTTTGAGGAACAGGCGGAGGATGAAGAAATGGTCCTGCCCGTCCAAATTGCCGAGGAGGGGGAGGAGAAAGAACGCCTTCAGGTGACCGTTTCCATCCATGCGGCGCGTGTAGAGGAAGTCGGCCATTCTGAACTCCCTTGTCCAGAACCCCTTCGGGCTGCTCCGGTGAAGAAGAAGCGTGTCAAAGGACCACCAAGGCATAAGCAGGTAGAAGTAGACATCGGTCAGCTCGTTGGAATTCCATAGGGGCACTCTTATCTGAACACGGCCGCATTAGTGCTGAAGAACAAAGCTGATGACGCAGAATACCATGTGACCCAGTTTTATGCCGGCCCTTCGGCACTGGTGGTAGAGCCCAAGCCTAATGACGTTTTATCTTGCCCCCCTTAAGGATGTTTCGCGGTGCACATCCTTTCGATTGCCCTGGGCCTCCGGTTCCCCCTCCATCCCTTCGTGCTGGAGTACTACGGTTTGTGAGACTCGCTCCCTATCAGCTGACTCTGAATAGTCATTCTTACTTGGTGGATTTCTTATCGCTCTGCGCTGCCTGAGGGGTAGAGCCCAGCCTGGATGTCTTCTTTTTGTGCTTCAACTTATGCTGAGAGTCGCACTCGGAAGACATGTTCTCGGTTGCTTTTCTATCGGAGGCAAGGGCGCTAAGACTACGACTTGGGACACTAACATTAAACCTAGCAGTGGGAGAGCAAACTATATGGAAAAGGTGAAGAACTGACCTCAAAAACGGGGGTTTGATCGAATTGGAACTTTCTCTCTCTAAGAATGGACAGATCTTCGCTTCACAGATCAAAAACGCATGTGATAGAACATAAAGTAAAGACAATTTAACTATATCATCAGTTGGTACTGTACCCTCCTTGATACTCTTAAGCAAGTTCTTAATATCCTCCCGAAAAATGTTTTTCTTGCAATCAAGGAATTATTTTTGCCATATAACACCATGTTCAGTTACATCATGTAGCTTATCTTCAAAATTTTGATCATAGTGTAAGCCTAGAATCTCAGTGAACTCGGAAAATGGAAACAATTTAAGCCTATCCTAAATTTCAAAGTGCATTCACAACCGGTCATCATGTTCACAGTGTTCTAAATGAACCATGTTGCCTAACAATAAATGCAATAGTTGCCCACAACAAGTCATCTGCTTAGCATCTAGGAATTTACCAAACTCCAAGCTGATAAACATTTCAAGTTGATCAGGAAGTAGTTTGGACTTAACAAGTTCAACTGAGTCATAAACCCTAGAGAAGGTGTTAACTCTCCTGCGAGATACTCCGTATATATCATTATAACCCAGTGATTTTTTTTACAAACCGCATATGCTTCTGAAAAAAAAAGCACCAAACATGTGAGTACATAATGAAACAAGAGTATTGGGAAGTATACTTGTGATCTCAAATCAAGATTAAGTGTAGGTAAAAGATCGAATAAGCTCACAACATAAGGCTTATATACTCCTCCGTCCCTTAAAACTTTGTCATCTTTCCTTTTTAAAGATTTCCCAAAAAACTTTGTAACTTTTCCTTTTAATCAATTATTTTGTGATTTTTGTTATTTCTCTCTCGTCTACACAAACCTCAATCACACAATTTTTACTTTATTATTCTCTGGGCCGCGGGTTAACTTTGGAAAAGTTTTAAGGGACGGAGGTAGGCTATGTTTGGCAGACATAAGTCTCTGCCTTCTAGCTTTTGTACTGTTCAAAAGTCTCTAAAAGCTTCTAGTTTTATGTTTCGCATGAAAATTTTTAAGAGCTTTTCAAAAATTAAAAGATCTTTTTTGAGATGCTACATGGAGTAGCATCTGAAAAAAGCCCGTGACTTTTAGTATTAATTAATCATAACAGCTTGTATACCAAACCGAACTAAATCAAACAATCAGCTTTTTACAAAACAACTACCACATTTTCTCTAAGATCTTTTCAGTCACTAAAAGCTAACAGTTATTAAAAACCTCACAAAAGTATTTTTTCAACTACTTGTGCCAAACCTACCCGTAGTATGTCAATGATAAAAAAAAAACTAAATGATCAATGATAAGCGACTAAGCGAGACAATGAGGTGGTGACAGTTTATTGGAGAGTTTTTTTTCGAATTAATGCTAATTAATTAATTAATTACGAAAATAATGTTGGGTTAAAAGTATTTACGGATCTACCGCTGGGTTTAACCGTGGTCAGGGAAAGTCGTCCAACGGTTGGGCGACTTATAAGTCGCCAAACGATTTGACGACTTATAAGTCGCCCAACCGTTGGGCGACTTTCCCTTTAGATTTTTATAATATAATAATACAATAATCTAATAAGAATATTTAAATAATAGGAGTTTTTTTTCGAATTGGTTTTTGAATATTTAAATAATAGGAGTTATTTAAATAATAGGAGTTTTAGAAGAGAACATACGTAAAATGTTGTAAATTGTTCCTACAACATACTGCAATACAAAAGGCAAACTACAAGTTCTCATGGTCATCTTGATCATCTTGGTCATGGAGATGTTGCTGCTGATGTCTACGCCTACGCCGTGGTCGTGGTTGAAGAACCACTCTCTCATGCTGCGTCTGGGATGATGAAGTCGCCGCTGCACTAGACGTCAATGCCATCTTCTGAGATGGGGGCATGTGTATAAGATGGCCGTAGTCGACTCGCCCCAACACATCTGAACACAAGGAGGCAATGCCTGTCAGAGTCTGTCCATACATGTCCACATCATGAGTATCACTCACTGTGGCAGTAGCCCGCTGATGTATACGCAGCAAAGCTCGTGTCTGAAATATGAAACACAATTACAATTACATTGAAATACATACAAGTATTCAATAAATAAAATGACTTACTTTACTAATTAGTAATATACTCACCGTAAGATGCAAAGCCAATGAGCTAGGCTGATAATGATGAGTAGAGAGTCTAAACGAAGGAGACACAAAAAAACGAGTGATGCTGTAATACCATCCCATGTAGTCTCCTGAAACAGATGGGACAAATGTCGGTGTCCCAGTCACAACCAGCTCAGCTCGCCTGTCCCACATAGTGACATATCGGACATGTCTGAGTGCCTAATCCTCTGAATGCTTCCCACGCCTATCCAGCCTATGAAGCTCTACATAAATGTCGATAGGTCGTGGAATGACCTGCTCAAACCCAAACTGTCGCAAGACTCGATCAGGCAAATGAAACTCAACAATGTCAAAACATATCAACGGCACACGGGTGTCGCCGCACTTCGCCGGAGTCGGGGGAGGTGTGTCGCCGCACTTCGCCGGAGTCGGGGGAGCTGCAGAGGGGCAGAGGGTTTGGGAGTTTTGGGGATTTGGGGGAAATGTTGCGTTCTGCCCGAACCCGACTTATGTTTAAGGGGTAAGTCGCCCAACGGTTGGGCGACTTATAAGTCGCCAAACCGTTTGGCGACTTATAAGTCGCCCAACCGTTGGGCGACTTACCCTGACCACGGTTAAACCCAGCAGTAGATCCGTAAATACTTTTAACCCAACATTATTTTCGTAATTAATTAATTAATTAGCATTAATTTGAAAAAAAACTCTTTATTGGAAGAATCAGATGTGAAATGACTGCTTGACATTTCTAGAATACAAAGAAACTTGAGTTAATTACCAGTAGTAGAAGTCACATATTTACATGCTTGATACGTAGTACAAATATATGATCATACATCATGGTATCATTTACTAGATATTTTTAAGAATAATACTTCGTGTATACATATTCCAAAATTAATAATCGTGTTTCCGTTTTTGATAAAATTATGCGATTTACCTCATTTCACATTTATTCGTTCAAATCACAACCATAAATTTTAAATTTCTAAAAATTAAAAAAGGAAATTAGGAAACTCATACTCGGTACTTAGGATGTTTTTACTTGGACTGTAATTCCTCCCAGACCAGATCAGATCTGACCAGACCAGTTCACACCAGATCAGACCAAATTTGGATAGTTATAAAACAGAAAGAAATCAGACCAGACTAAATCAATTTAAATCAATTTAAACGGTCAGTGAAAACATCATTAAATTAAGTTACATTTATCAAAAATTTGTCAAGGACAGGCTGTGGTGGGTATCGGTCACACCATCCCGGCCCACTACTAACCGCCTTTATAGAACGAATTATTCCATATTCGGTCATCAACACCTCTACACAAACCCTAGAGCATACCCTTTCCGCAGGATTAGGATTCCCTAAAACGTTCTCGAAATCTCAAGCAAGACCCGTCTCTTCTTTATATACCGATCCGTTGCAGGATCCCTTTTTTCTTCTCAATCCGCTGCTTTTCTTTTTCTTTATCTCGCGTCGTTCGTGAATGGTGGAAATCCTGATCAATCAATTGATGATCTTCCCCCTCTCTTCTTCCAGAAGGGGGATCTCTGCTTCTTCTTCTTTCTCCTTCGGATCCTGCAAGGAAGGCTGGTACTACCGCTGCATCGGCGTCGATCCTTAGGCAATCTCTCCCGTTTCTCCCTCGATTTGTTTTATTTTCGTTGTTAAACGCCGATTCTTTTGTTTTTCTTCAATTTTATTGCTATGCACAAAAAATCGTCCGAGATGTTGACATACAAGCCGAAGAAGACTCAGGCCGGGAAGAGCGGCGGCGAGAATCGCCGTCTGTTGGTCAGCATCACCGTCCTCGGAAGCGCCGGTCCGATCCGGTTCGTGGTGAACGAAGATGATCCGGTTGCGGCCGTGATCGTTACGGCTTTGAAATCCTACGCGCGTGAGGGGAGGCTTCCGGTTCTCGGATCCGATTTCAACAATTTCGTACTATATTCCCCGAACGCAGCAACTGAAGCTCTTAATCCATGGGATGGAATTGGATCGCTAGGTGTTCGAAACTTTGTCCTGTCAAAGAAACCACAGCAGGAGAGGGCCAATGAGGACGGGAAACAAGCGGCGCCTAAGGCTTCAAGAAGCATCTGGAGGACATGGTTCAACAAGACGATTAACCCCAAGATTATGTCTCATTGAGGTACAATAAGAACATTCAAAGGGGAATTGCCAACTTGTACTCTGATTCGGCAAAGTTTTTATTTTTGGAATTGCCACTTGATTTGTTGTTATGGGATTTGCTATTGGTATTATTATGGTTCTACAACGGAGTTCAATGACTTGATTTAAGATTCATCTGTGTTGCATAACATGTATCTTTGCTATGAATTCCTTCAACAAAAGCTTAAATTTGGATCCTTATGTTATTCTTTTCACTCAATTGAAGTATATGGTGTATGTTGTATTGATATCCCGTTAAGAAATGATTTGGAAGCTGATTATGACTTGGAGAAGTTTCTTGCTAAGAGAAGCTCGGTTTTGTCTACTTTTGATGTTAATACAATAATTAAAAAACAATTTGATGCTCACTCCTGTACACTTAATTCTCTGCATATACTTAGGTGAAGCAAAATAAGTAAATTTAACTCAACGTATTGGTGTGAAAAAATGTAATTAGCCATCCCAGCCTTGTAATCCTTTTCAAGGCAAAGGCTTGGAGCTTGTAATTTTAGTTATTTTTCATGCCATTATTTTCTTTATTTTGTTAATAATAACTCCGTATATTTTTAAATTTAACTTTCATAATTTATGTTTTCAATATTTTAATTTTTTAGTTTTTGACTGGTGGAAACATTTTATGTTTTGTGGAGTATCTTTTGGGGAGTCATGTTCGAGTCAGTCAGAAACTCCTCATCTTTTTTTATCATGTTTTATGTATGTATATATATATATATATATTAAAATTCAAATTAAAATTCAATAATTTGAATTTTAATAATTTATTTAATTGCATTCACGTTAAATTTGAAACTGAAATTTGTTGGCATAAACTAACTTTATATCATGCTCAAAAAAATTAATTAAAAATTTACTGGAAACCATCGGCGATTCCGTACGATGACGGTTCACTTTTGGGTACAACAACGTGTACAATTATTTTTCTTTTTCCCAGAGTACCACAAGGTGGGCACACTCATTCACTCCCTAGCTCGATAAACATGGTGGGGTTCCCTCTCTTTTCAGGAAATGGTAGGATGAAAAACAAACACGCATAACTTTTGGGATTTGTGGCCTCTTGGGACTGGAATAAAGACAGTTCTCTGACATTTTGGAGAAAATTTAAATGGTTTTATAAATATGAGAAAATGTTGAAACATTATGAGAAAAAAATGAACCACGTACAAATGTGGTGCGAAGTTTACACAATAATTTGTACTTTCATGCATTTTATAAAAAAAACTAGACCGTTTTTGGATTAGCCACCTCAAAGAATATTTGTTCAACCATAATCCCCATTTACCTGGATTTTTTAAAGGGACAAACACTCAATTAGTGGTGGACCCGGGAACCGGCCCAACCCGCTACTGTGCGGGCCCGGAACCGGCCCGGTCTGACGGCTCGGGACCGGGTGTAGATCCGAACCAGGGGGGCTCAGTTTTGGCAAAACGTCACCCGGCCTGGCCGGGTCGGGCTCGGGTCCGGGTCACAACGGTTAGATTTAAAAAAAATTGTTTTGAGGCCAATAGAGCCGTTAGTCCAACGGTTGGGACCACCCAAACAGTTACATAACTGTTGGGTGGGCTGACAGGGGTCCAGGCAGTTTGGGGGTGGGTGGGGGGTGGGGTGGGGGTGGGATAAAAAAACTATAAATACACCTAATCTTAAACATTTTTCCATATCTCTTCTCCAACTCTTCCTAAATCCTACTCTCTACTCTCTAATTATCTTCATCTTCTCAAATTCTCTTATTCTCCAATATATTATATATCTACTTATATTATTTATCTACTTATAAATACATATATTATATTACTTATATTTCTTATCTACTTATATATTATATATTAATTATCTATTTATAAATACATATATTATATTACTTATATTTCTTATCTACTTATTCTCTACTTATTATCTACTTATATCTACTAAATACATACATATTACAATTTATATCTACTTAGTTCGAATTGTTAGTACATTTTAGTACGAATTAGTAGATTTTATATAATACTTTGATTGTTACTACATAAAATAATTGTTAGTACGAATTAAAGTTAGTATTGTTAGAATTTTATTTCATTAAAGTTAGAATTGTTAGAATTTTATTTCATTAGTTCGAATTATTTTTATAAATTAATATTTGTAAACATTTTTAAGATGGAAGGTGGTAGATATTCGGTTGATATGGGTAACCTCGACCGCAACCGAACGAACGAACTTGCGAGGAAGAGATCTCGCGAAGGTAAATCGATCACATATCGGCTCTTCATCTCAAAGCCGAGATAATTTTGATACATGTTACGCAAGGAGGGATGGGGATGTGATGACCGACGAACAACTAGAACAAGAATTGCACCGACATAATAGTCAGTTTTTCCAAGACCAGCCGAGGACCATTGACGAAGAAGAGCTCGAGGACGACGATGTGGAAGAAGTAATTTCAGAGATGGACGCGGAGGAGGGTGGCGGTAGTCACGACGCCGACGAGCCTGCCTCATCCCAAACTGGTACGAAAAAAGTAAATCTGAACTAATGCTTAATAATTTTGACAAATGGAAGGACCCGAACACCAGGAATTGGAACGCAACTTGCAAGTGGTGTAAGAAAAATTATAGCTTGGGGATTTCCGGTGGATACGGATCTGCCGCAAGGCATCTTAAGGCCAAACACACGGTGGAGTATGCAAAATTAGGCGGCGGAACGGGGAGCAAACTCAAATATCGAGGTTTGCTAATAAACCAACAACCTTTTGGTAATTTCTCATACAATGATGCACAAAATTTGACTGGTATGACTAACTTACTTGTTGAAGAAAATTTGCCTTATTTGTTTTCTGAAAGTCTTGCTTTCAAAGATTATGCACAAACTTGTTTAAATCCTCAATATAGAGGTTATAGTCGCAAAACGGTTAAGAAAGAAATTTTAAAGTGTTGGGTTAATGGCCCAACCAGGGCCGGTCCACCAACCCCTAGGGGACGTACGTAGATCAGCATGATCTAGCTTCAGGGCCCAAGGGCCAGGGGACGTACGTAGCCCAGCATGACCAAGCTCCAAGGACCAAGGGCCAGGGGACGTACGTAGCCCAGCATGACCAAGCTCCAAGGACCAAGGGCCAGGGGACGTACGTAGCTCAGCATGACCTAGCTTCAGGGCCCAAGGGCCAGGGGACGTACGTAGCTCAGCATAACCAAGCTTCAGGGCCCAAGGGACAGGGGACGTACGTAGCTCAGCATGACCAAGCTCTAAGGACCAAGGGTCAGAGGACGTACGTAGCTCAGCATGACCAAGCTTCAGGGCCCAAGGGCCAGGGGATGAGCGTCTCGTGGTTTACCACTCGAGGGCCCAGGCTGCCATCGGAGGGCTGAGTCCAGCCCAGGGGACGGACATCCCCCACGACATGGCGGGAAGCCAAGATTCTGGCGGGAAGCGCATTAAATGCGGGAGATTTGGTGGTTGGGATCATGTCGCCCACAGCCAGCCACGTCAGCCCCCCCCCCCCAACTACCATGGGATACTATAAATAGTCGCATTTATTTCATTAAAGGGGGTTCACACTTTGACTCTCTAGCAGGGTAATAACATCAATAGCACGTAGCATAGCTTAGTACGTTCGGCCCCTCGGCTTGTAATCGCTAGAGTGAATGAAATACAGTTATTCGCCCACTCTCCATTGTCTAGTGATCTTATTTGCCCTCCACCCATTCGAAACCCCCAGGTTACGTGTTGGGCCTGCGGGTTGAGAGGAATAAACCTCAACACTGGCACCGTCTGTGGGAAACTGATCAAAAAGTTCTTCCAAATCAAGCTCTCCATTAAAAAAGTCTAAGACAACCACAAGGCAAGTAAAATGAACACTAACAACGCGGGTAACTCTCAAGACCTCTCCTCACGATTGGTTCACAAAGGGAGGAGCCGCAACCAGGCGACGGGGGCCCAGTCCACCAGTCTGTGGAGTCGGGGAGATTTCGGGATATTCACTGACCTGATCCCCTAGGAACTCCGTAAGGACCCCAACGCACTACGGGAGATCGCGGATACCATCCGCCGACTGGCGGACCAGCGAGAGGAGGAGCATGTGCATACTGCCAACACCGAGCGGACCCCGCTCTCACCCATCCGCCCCATCCAGTCTTTCGCCGAGCATACTGGTGAAAATAGCCACCCCCGCCGTTCGGTCCATTCCAGGATAACTCAGAACACCCGCTCTCCGGGCATGTGGGGCGCCGCGGAAGCCGGGCCTTTCGGAGGAACGTAGCGCCACACGGTCCAGGACCCCACGCCGGTCATGCCCTGCAATGGACGGGCGGCTCGGGAACACACTCCCGTGGTGGATGGAATGATGGTGGAGGTAGGGGTGGGTTCGGTTCTTGCGGTTCGGTTTTGACCTAAAACCAAATATAGAATCAAAGTAAAAAGTTCGGTTCGGTTTCGGTTCGGTTCTACACTCCAAAACTTGGAACCACGGTTTAATTGGTTTGGTTTGTTTCGATTCGGTTTCGGTTTTTTCGGTTTTTTACAAAAAAAATATCATTTGATTTAAAATTGATATAATACTTTGAGGGATCAAACATATATTAAATAAAGAATGTAAGCACACTACAACAAATAAAAACAAAATGAAAATAAATAAATATGTCATGAATTATATGAGTATGCGAGAGAGATAAAAGTATATATTATTAATTTACATTGTTTGTGACTAGTTCAAAAAAAGTTCATGAGTATATACGTTATATGTGATATAGTTGAGATAAATATTTATTGTTTCATCAATACGAATTCTTTAAGTTAAATAAAAATTAAAGTTAATTAATACTAATAACAAGTAAAAACATATTATCAGTATAGCTACATTATTACGTGCAATGAATGTGTAAATGAATTCACAAACTAAACTAAACATAACAAACATTATTTCTCTAGCACAAGAAAATCAAAAACTATTAATGATATTAGAATTAGTTAGGATTAATGCTTAACAATGGACAAATAAATTTTACTCCGTATATTTTAACTAGTTAGGTTTGTTCGGTTCGGTTCGGTTTTGAAGGGTAAAAACCAAAACCGAACCAAACAACTACGGTTCGATTCGGTTTTTTATATTCGGTTTCGGTTTGTTAGCGGTTCGGTTTTATTTGGCTACGATTCGGTATGATTTGATTCGGTTTTCGGTTTTTGATTTTTCGGACCCAGCACTAGGTGGAGGCCCGGGTATACCATGGTCAGCATAATCATGGCATCATGACAAGGGGGAACACCTTAGCATTGGTAACTCCCGTGCCCGCTGTGGCCGATCCGCGAGATGTCA